CACTGAAAGGCACCTAATGAGAAGTTCAATGCTTGCTTAGTCTCAACTTTTCCCAGGCCAACATCAGGCAAACACTACTTCAACTTGCAAGGCCTTCGATTCTCGATTTTGTCCTTTAAAGAAGTTCATGTCAGCTTTACCATTTCTAATGGAATTGGACAGTTTGTAAGAACTGCTGGCTTTTTTTTTCCAGCTCTGCTGCAAATGAGCAGCTGTCATCACCTTCTCCGATGCCATTAAGCAGAAATAATCTCCTGCCTCCTATTAGTACCATAGAAGGAACAGAACACATAGTATCCCAAAAGCAAACGGTGAGTCAACTGCTTTTTAAAAAAAGTTTCCTACTACCCCTGTAAATTATCTGTGAGATATATATAGATAGATAGATCTAGATATAATTTTAAAAATCATTTTTTAGTTTTAAATTAAAGGTTTTCATTTAATGCCCCCCTCCCATTTTGGGTGGCAAAATTGTGGGAGGCCGTCCAGGCCAAAAACGGGCCACGGGGGCTGCACTCTGTCCCCCAATGCCCCTTTTTTTGCTGCCTGAGGCACTGCGGGCTGGTCCTTTGCTATTTCCTCACAGGCCAGATTTAAGCACCGCGTAGTCCATATCCAGCCCGCGGGACTTGAATTTGACATCCCTGATTTAGAAACTGAACAATATTGGTCTTATTTGTGAATTAGGTGGAGTTCAACTCAGCGGTCCTGTAAGGCTGATTGTTGTAATTCATGACACTTATATTTCTTGTATTATATGTACAGACACTTCCAACTTTTCCCTTTATGTGGAACTACAATAATCCCTTAGATAACACTACTAAATTTTGTAGGCATCACTGAACCTGGGCAAAAATAATCACAGCATCTACATCCCAAATTCTATATTTGGAGTTAAATCCAAACTGAGGGAATTGGGAAGAAAGCTGCACTAAATAACTCCAAGCATATATTTGCATATATTTGTTGCTTATGTCCCATTTTTTCAAAGAGCTTTTTTGGATATAAAACCTTCGTGTTTTTCTCTTTGTGTTGCAGAAATCCCGGGTAAATGTTAACCGGGCTCGAAGTGCAGTAGCAGATGATGTCAGCCATCAACCAGTTCATGAGAGATTTTTATTACCTGAGAGTTTTTCCAGGCCTAATACATCGCATGCATTTTGGGTAAGGTGTAACTAAATTGCATTTGTACAGAATTCCTTCTTTTGGGGACCTCTCAGGAAATTGCCAAAGTGTATAGGTTGTTGGAGGTCTGAAGGGAGAATATGTGCAATATGTAATGCAAGTACAGGCCGTTCTCAACTTGTGACCACAATTGAGCCCAAAATTTCTGTTGCTAAGTGAGTTTCTCCACATTTTATGACTTTCCAGTTGATAAGCGAATCACTGCAGGTCTTAAGTCAGCCAATTAGTTGTTAAGTGAATCCATCTTCCCGTCATAAGTATGAGTCAGTTGCTGAGCTTCTGAATTTTGATCATGTGACCACTAGGATGCTACAACAGTCATAAGCGTGAAAAAAACTGTCACAAGTCACTTTTTCAAGTGCCGTTGTAACTTTGAACAGTCATTAAATGAACTGTTGTAAGTTGACAACTACCTGTATATCTCTGAATGCCACCTTAACAGGAAAAGTTCCAGATCAAGCAGAGAGATTTGTTTGCATCCAAAGAAATACCAGTATGTGTTCTCTTCAGAGGGTAATCTGGAGACTATTTGGGTGCACACTAAAGTTGCATTTAGGATGGGTTGGAACCATGAAAATTCTGCTGAATATTTTGTATTTGTGTGATTTGATCCAGGACCTGATGCAATAATTTTATTTGAACCCTTTAGGCAGAAACACAATACCGTCGTTCTTGCACAGTTATTGATTATGCTAATCAGACACGAAATAATAAAGGATCTGCTGGTACAGGTACATTGATAATTGAACACTTTTTTAAAAAAATTGACTGCTTAACATGTAGAGCGAGTAACACAAAGCGACTTCAACGCTGGAATCTTTATTATTCTACAGATCCTGTCAACGTAGGTGTCATGGGAACCAGTTTAGGGATATCTAGCTCTTCCTACATTAATTCTTTCCACCACCAGCCTCTTGGTCATTTTCTTGATGAAGATGAGGAAGATAACGATCATCCCCCTCTGGGTAAGAAGTAGAGGAACCGATTTGAGAATGTACATCATCTGTTTGGTTGCAAGCCATAAAAAAAGAATATTTGGCATCTTTTTCTGAAATGAGTTTTGTCGTTTTTGCCTAAAGTTTATTTCTTAAGCCGGAATAACATTTTAAATCTCGTTCAGGATACGTGGCAGGGTTTGTTCTTGTTCAGTTTATTCAGTCAGTTTAACAAAAGAGGGTAGGTAGCCACCAGATTGTATCACAGCAATTTCAAAAAAGACAAATTGTAACCTATCCTGCTGGGTTATGTTGTGCCACATACAAATAAAAAAACCAGACAGAAGATAAGTAGACTTAGCTCAGTCACTTTCGGAAATGATTCTTATTCAAATGCAACTAGTTCTGGTTTCAATTCTAGACAAAACACAGCGGTGTAGTTTTGTAGATGAACTTGGTTCACGCAAGACTTGTGCCAAAGGCTGATACAGGTGCACGCTTGAAAAATGTACAACAGGTTTATTGTCTTGATGTCTTTCTGGCAATCATGTTTTTTTACAGGAAACAAAGTAGACTTGAATTGTATAGTTGCTTTCAAGCCTTATCTCATTCTTGCTTAGTAGGTCTTCAGTTATATGGTTCTGTAGGAACTCACAGCCGAGCTGGATCACGAAATAAACAGGGATTGTAAGCCATCCGTCTCCAAGACGAGGGAGAATCTACGGAAGCTTTTAAAAGCAGTATTCAACGACAGCAATATCAAATTCGTTTACAGAAGAAATTTAACGTTTTTCTTTAGAAAAGTCTTATTTTTGTATAACAACTGCCAAAGACTACGTGGTTGTATGAGAATTTTGTGCCAGCAGAAACTTGTTTTGATGGAGCATTAAAAGTTTGCCTTCTGTGGAACTCCGCTATCATGCTGTTGGTATGTTCCGTTACAAAAATGTCTGGCTGAAGAATGCAGTACTGGTTAAGATTCAAAGACTTGCTAGTTACTGATACTTAATAGCAATATGTTTAGCATTATTTATAATGATATTAAATTGGATTATTGCTTGGCCTGCACCTCCAGTAGTTTCCCTTAAATGTTTAAACAGTTGAAGGTTGACATTGCTAATTGACATATTTTGAAAAAATTGGTATTTGAAAGGATTAAACAGAGGATTAAACGCAATATATTTGAATTCATTTATGTATTTAAATTCAGGATACCATTATTTCCCAATTAAATCCATACATGTTTAACCACTTTTTAACCATGCTAACTTTGGCTAAGATTGTAAAGCACCACTTTAGTTGTATATTCTTCAACTGTAGTCAATACATAATATCTTTTTTAAGTAAGTGAAAATTTTTGATGAAAACTTTTAAGAAACCTTTTCACCATGTACTCAGATTTAACTGTTTAAGGTTTTCTCATTGGGAAGACAAAATACTTCCTACATTTTGGAGGAGTCAAGCCCGGTGAGGTATTACAATAGATAAAAGCATAGCAACCTGAATATTGTGTTTAATGTCTAACATAATTTCAATGTAATTCAACAGAGATGAACTAGTAAGATGAACTAGTAAATGCCAGCCATTAACTGATGAAGCTATGTATAAAATAAAGGTAACTGCATTTTCCCTGATACCATGTGAGACATAAAAGAAACAAGATTATTACGTTGTAAAATGGAGACTATTTTGTATGCAAATAAAAGCATTTTCTAGACTGTATTTGAGTTGAAATTAAATATCACGGTTGGGGCCTACTTCCTGGATTTAAAAGTGGTCGAAATTAGAAACAGAAATATGAATTTCCAGAATACTTTTACATTTTTCATTCTTTGTTTTGTCCTCCATCAAAGAGCTCAAGGTGGGTAAGTATGCTATGTAGTTTTAATTTCAAGGCAATCCTGTGTAAAAAGTAGGCTGAAAACTGCCAGCTCAGTCCCTCAATAAAGTATTTATTTGGTAAACTTATATAGCCACTCGTATATGTGACTCTGAGCAACTTACAGTTAAAAAGCATAAAACAATACAACACAATAACCAAAAATTGTAACAAAAATCTTTTAAAACGATTAAAAAAAAACAATCCATAATTTACAAGCGAGCACACTCTATTTCCCTAGCAACACAGTCACTTTGAAGAGACTGTACGCATGTCATCAGATCCTCAGGCCAGGCGGCAAAGCCACTTGTTCCAAGTTTTTCCAGAAGTCTGACATCAGAAGCCGTGATATTCCAAAGGCAGGTGCCACAGCAGCAAAGGCGCTCTCTTCTTGGGACCCATCAGATGACATTCCTTTGTGGACGAGATCCCAACCTGCCCTTCCTTGATGGGATGAGTGGATGGGATTGGGAAGAGGCAACTCCTCAAGCATACTCCTGTCTCTCTGATGTAATGTTTCATAGGAAAGTGGATAAAGAATACTTGCTGCTCTTGAAGTTGCCATCTGGAGTTACCTTTAATACAATCAAGCAGCAGGATTAGCCTGCTGACTCAAGATCTTCTGAAGAAACCCTGATTTTCCCAATTATACTCAACAATAACAACACAGTAAGTTTTATTAATGTTCTATAGCAAATACCCAGATGATTTCCTCTTCTAGTAGAAAATGCTATGAGCAAAAATCTGAGGTGTTTTTGGACGTTCCTCAACAAAAAAAATTGGTCATAGACCCACTTTACTTAGCATTAATACCTTTTGGATTTTATCAAGTTCTCGTTTGCAATTTTCTTGATTTTGATCCCTAAACTGGCTTCCTTTTTCTGAATTGTGCATTTCCTTCCTTCCATAAAGCGGGCATACAAAAATATAGAAGAATATACTGCCTGAATGACATTAAAGCAGTGTTGCTCCATCAAGAAATAGAAGCTGTTTTTTTTCCCCCAGGGACAGCAAGAAAATGAATTTATGCATAATATCAAACCACTCTTTCAATTGTAGTTTTACGAGAAAGGTAAAATTAGGTGTCATACAATGAAGAAACCATGTGAATTCAGCTAAAAACTAAATAGGTGGGGGAAATAATGCATCTGGCTGAGAAATACCATGAATGCAGATATCTCTTAAGAAATGGAAAAAATGCCTACGCTTTTGGAATATATCAAGTCTGCTTTTGTGCTGTCTCTCAATGGTAAGGAAGCTTTGCCACTGAAAATCAGCAATGTGCTCAGATGGATTACAGCCCTGGGAATCCAGGTCCCATGGATTTATGCGCAGAACCCTAATATTTTCAGAACTGGGGTTAGTGTGTTGTGTTCACTCTTTTAGCCCGAGCTGTTGCTTTTGCTGCCATTATATATTCTGATATTGTAAGCCAGCGAGCCACAACCTTTTGGCCACAAGGGACCAATTCTATGGAGATGTTTTTCCATGGACCGAGAGCCTGGTTACATGGGCTGCCTGCATTCTACGAATGGAGTTTTGCTTGTTTTCATGGTCCAATTTCTGGCATGGTGCTGGTCTATTAGATTGGGTAGCCATAAGAAATAATTCTGTTTAAAATCAAATTAATTTTTATACTTGGAAAATATTAATTGCATTTTGAGTAACTGACCTGTTAATTATGCAATGTTCTAGTGCATTGTTTTTGCTTTCACCATAGCTCTGATTCCTATATTGCTCTCAACCTGCCAACTATCTGACCTTAAAGGAACAGTTTTGCCTCATGCTTGTATTGGCTAGGCATATTTTTGCTTTATGCTTATAAGAGATATTGGAAGAGATATGATTAGAAAGATAAGTATTAGTTTTCCCATTACAGCCAACCTGGGTTTGACCCTGTCAAACTGGTTGGATATGGGTTTTATCACAGCCAGCATCTCTTCCAGAATACAATTTGAGAGGTAAGATATTTAAAGACTGATCCCCAGCTGTAATCATACATAAGCCAGAAGGACAGTGCACACCCCTCTTTTGGTGACACATATCCAGAGAATTCAAACCCTCACAAACATTGATACAATTGCGTATTAATCGCTTTTAAGAAACGTTCTCTTCCAGAACTCAAATCTCGCTGCATTATCAGTAAAGATTTCAGTTCATGCAGCACTGTTGAAATTACTTCTAGATTTGTTAGCAATGTTTAAAATATATAGTCCTTATGTATGCATACAAACGATCATCATTTTGGACTCAAGGCAGTGTCCTGATAATAGTTTACCTACTGTATCTATGAAAAGTTGACAACAAAATGTCATTTCTAAGTGTTTCCAAATGCCTGTAAGCTTGACTTATATGTTTCTGATACACTTCTGTTAAGATTAACAATTTGCTAATTATTTTTAATTTTAAAGGTTTTACATTCAACAGGTAAACAATATTATTTTACAGAAATATAGTATAGCAAGGTTTTGATCAATTTATTTGTGCAGAAAATCTGTTCCTCTAAAACATTCACATCTATTTTGCTGGAAATTTGCTAAATGTATCTAAGATCCTGCTATGTTTATTTCTTTTTATCAATTAATTGCTGAAAGTGTGCTGCAAATTAAGTGTAAATGAAGATCATTTATACAACCAGTCATTTTTGGGGGGTTGCTTTCTTTCCTCCTTTTTTGGATTTGTTTGCATACTTTGCTTCCATCCGAGCCACAAAATCTTCCATTTCCTTTTTTCTACTCCCCATTCTGCTCTGTTAAATGGAATAAAAACAAGTTGGTTAAAAAAAGCAAATATCAGCCTCTATTATAAAAAACATTACAGCTTCTCCTCATTTAACAACTACCTCAGGTAGGGACCGTTTGCAAATACGGTAATAAAAAGTAGTAAAAAAAATAATTTTCTTAGCAATGCACATACTTACACCAAATTTTTGCACCTAAGAATATACTCTATGAGTGAGAATAACGCTGGCATAATCCACTAGAGATCTTTATCTGAGTGTGATAGCAGCAACCAGAAATCCTTACAGTATCTCTCAGTCACAATTTGCTTAGCAACCATTTTGCTTAATAACAAAGTTAATTGAACAGATTGGGGTCATTACATGAGGGTGTACATTTTATCAAAATAATTCAGAAACTGTACAATAGCATCTACATTAAAGGTATTTAAAATATACAGATTTAAAATAAGATTGCTGAAAGAATCAAAACCACTGTTTAAAAATTATAAAGGAAGAAACTATAACATCTATGAACTATTGTTATCAAGATGCCTGTTAATTAAATATGCTACAAAGATTAGAAACAGATTCCCAGGAGATTGCTTGTGTTTTGCCTAAGAGAATTACAGCTCAATTCAGAACCCCTACCATATATCAAGAAGTAAAATTCTTTGTCCCAGTGTGAGTCGCTGTATGCTAAATTTTATTTTGACATTTTATGAACTCTTTAATCGGTTTGGAAACGTTTTTTCCCCCAAGGATCTTTATTCTATAACCTTACTTGAATTAATACTTTCAGATCATCATCTCCTTCACCAAGTCCCATTTCTTCTCTGGATTCTTCTGCCTCTTTAGCTTCCTTTTCTGCCTGAAACAGCAACAACACTGAAATGAACTATCAACTTCTTTCCTAATCCAAACCACCAACTGCAATTAGCATTTAAGGAAATATTCCCATAGCAACCATTCTTTGAGTCAGAGTGGCCAAAGACGCACATGAACTTATGATTCATAAACTTATGAATCCTCAGGAATAATTCCAAAACTTTAATAACTTTTAATAATCTTCAAATAAACACGTGTGTATTCTGTACATGTCATTGACTACTAACTTTAAATTTATTATGTTCATAGCTTTAGAAAATCTTTTCTAAAAAAAAATGTAAGAAATACAAAAGATAAGGGGATTGGTCATTTAAAAATTCCGCCTTGATTTAAAAACATGAGGACTATAATGTAAAGATAAATGATGGATGCTACATACACCAATATATTTAGAATTATATTTCGTGTTATAAGCTTTATTAATAAAACTTATCAGTTAAAACATACCTTCCTTTTTCTTGCATTTATCTTTCTCTTAGATTCATTTACAAAGGATTTATAAGATGGAAGTTCTCCAGAATCAATAGCATGTTGAATAATCTGTCTTATTCTTGGTTCATCTGTATAATCAACACACAGGACAGACTCCATAATTTTGTCCATATCGCCTTTAAAGTCTTCATATGCGGCTTTAATGTCTTCCAGCTCTTCTGTGGAATGTTTGTACTTCTTTTCAAAATCTTTGATATTTTTTACAGTTATCTAGTTGATTAAAAAAAAGACACTTTTTTTTACAAGCTGAAGTTAAAAATATATTCTACATTCGCTGTTATTTAAAAGGATTTTCTTTTCCTATCATTCATGCTCATCTGAACCAAATCTTTATGAAATAAGAAGGTATTCTGTATATGCATTGTCTAGAACTAGAGAAGACAGTTTCAATTTAAGTAAAATCAGCAACTTACCTAGTTCAGCAATGTAATCACTGCTTGGCAGCAGCTCCTGTGAGCTTTGAGCTTAATATTTCCCTGCTCTATTTGGAGATTCTAGTGTTCTAAGTCTGGGAAGTTCACATGCAAGGCCCATGTTCATTAGTAACTTCAGGATTTTTAGGGTTCAGAGTAAAAAAATAAACTTGTATTTTGGCAAAAATGAATTTAAAAAGTAATAATTTCTGCATTTATATAAAATTCCAGAACTGCTTCTCTTTAATTCTAGCTTTCACTAAGCCTTCTTTATTAAATTTGTTTGTTACTAATGTCAGGAACAATGAAGTGATGAAAAAAAACAACCTTGGCAACTGGCCTTAACTATGATAAAAGTCCATGATAAAATGATGTATTATACAAAACTTAATCATATATCCAAAATGTTATCCTGGAAAGATTAATTCTGGCAATTCAATTATATACTTAGTATACAGTAAAAAAAAACCACCCACTTTTTTGAACAGCAACCTCCAGTATTCTTCCCAGTTACAATCTTGGGTCAACACAGTTGATTCCTCATCCACAATCCCTTGTTGATCATACAGTGTCCGCTGTTCCTCATCACTTAGTACTGCATAAACCTTGCCCAGGATCTAGGAGAATTCAGACAAACCTCAATAATTCAATAAATGGCTTCTTCTTGCCTCTTCCAAAGGGCCTATTTTAGGATAAAGAATGTTACATTATCATAATTCTTTCTAATAGTAAATCTACTACTGAAGACTTGTCAATTTGTAATTGGGGGCACTCTAAGCAGAATTTAAAGTAAAAACTTTTAAATTCTTTTAAAAACCAAACAATTGAATCTTCAAAATATGTGGTTTGTTCTTTAGAGGTATAAACTTTTATAAAAATAACAAATTAATATATTTACTGCAAGCACATTTATGCTGCTTCATTTAATTCTAAGCAGCCTACAAATTCAAAGCCAAACATCAAAACCACAGGATGGTAATACAGGTAGTCCTTGACTTACGACCACAACTAAGCCCAAAATTGTTTGTTAAGTGAAACATTTGTTGACTTTTGCCCTGTTTTATGACCTTTCTTGCCACAGTGAATCACTGCAGTTGATAAGTGAGCAACGCGGTTGTTAAGTGAATCTGGCTTCCCTACTGACTTCGCTTTTCCGAAGGTCACAAAAGGGGATTGAATACATGACCTTGGGATACAGCAATGGTCATCAATACGAACCAGTTGCCAAGCTACTGAATTTTGATCACATGACCATAGGGACGCTGCAAAGGTTATAACAATGAAAAACCAATCATAAGTCACCTTTTCAGTGCTATAGTAACTTTGAACGGTCACTAAAGGAAGTTGTGAAAGTCGAGGACTACCTGACCTGTAATTAGATAAGAATCTTGTGAAAAGCTCCTGAAATCAATTTATGCTTCTTACATGGAATTGGGGGGGGGGGGGTATAGGGTGTCAGGAGGCATAAAGTTTTATTTTATTTCATTTTTATTTATTTATTTTGTCAAGCATACATTTGATAATTACTACCAACTTGCCTTTAGTCAAGGACCTGTATACTGCACGAGTCAAAAAGAGGACTGTGAAAATATTTACAGACCCCTCACATCCCAGACACAAACTGTTTCAACTCCTTCCCTCAAAACGACACTATAGAGCACTGCACACCAGAACTAGACACAAGGACAGTGTTCTGACCCACACCCTTTTCCAACAAATCAAACACAATCCAAAAAGAACAAAAACCTTGTAATGCTTTTACAAAATAATTAGCTATGATAAGCACAAGCCTTGCCAAACTGTACGAGGCTTGCCAAAAGATAACAGAGAAGAAATAATTTGCAAAATAAGAATCTTCAAATACAAACTCAGGATACTGGAATGTCCACGAGGCTGTAGTTTCAAAACATCTTTGCCTTCTGCAAAGAAGGTTAGTTTCACAGCTGGCTTTTATCTTCTTGAAGGAGGGGCCATTTCCTTGCAGCCTTACTCACGAGTTGCCCATGCTGTTGCAGCTGCTCTTTCCTATGAACAATCCTGGGCACACACGCACTTGGCACAGGCTCTTTGGGAACCTCCTCATTGCTGCTGCCAGCCCCCACAATCACAGCAGTCCACTCCCTAGTGGTCCTGGCCCCTCATCTGAGTCCTCACTCTCCTCAGCTGCCCACACCTGCTTCTGGCTAACCACAACAAACAGTTTTTCCCCAAACGCCATCACTCTGCTAAACAAATAATTCCCTCAACACTGTCCAACTATTTACAAAGTCTGCACTACTATTACTATTAATCTTCTCACCACTCCTTATAACCCATCCCCTCCCACTTGTGACTGTATGACTGTAACTTTATTGCTTGTATCCTAAAAATTTTTATTGACTGTTTCCTAGTATGATTTGATTGCTTATTGTACCCTATGACTATTATTGTGTTGTTCCTTATGATTCTTGACGAATGATTTTTTTTCTTTTATGTACATTGAGAGAATTTGAACCAAGACAAATTCTTCGTGTGTCCAATCACACTTGGCCAATAAAGAATTCTATGCTACTCTCTCTATATAAGTATAAACATCATTATTAATACGTGAAATAGATACTAATTAAAAGGAACATTAAGACAGGGATGGTAGGCACGTTGGTGCGCTTATGAACGCCCCTTACAGACCTCTTAGGAATGGGGTGAAACTAAATGTTTCTACATTTAGTTTGTAATTGAGAGGCAGAGCCCTACACATCACTATAGCACAGTGATTCTTAAACAGAGGTATCAATACTACAGGTAGAAGTCCAAAACAGTACACGAGCCAAGTTACCAAAATGTTTGCCTTTACAATTAACTCGTGGGAATTGGCAGGCAAGCAACCGCAGAGGACATGCTTCTCTTTTTAAATTCAAATTAGAAGCTTTTTATGGCTCTGAAAATATTCCACCACAAATCTGACCATTATCTGGGATGCTTCTGGCCACCCATTTTATGCCACAGGCTTAACACAAAGGCTTGGACCCCCCCCAATTCCACTTTTTTTCCCTCCTCCCCCAGTCCCCCAGCCTTGGAAAATTACATCAAGCCAAAAGCTAGTCGGAGAACGTCAGTTAAAGATTTATAGCAAGGCTCTTCAAACTTGGCAAGTTTAAGACTCGTGGACTTCAACTCCCAGAATTCCTGACCTAACATGGACTAGAGGAGGAATTCTGGGAGTTGAAGTCCACAAGTCTTAAAAGCTGTCAAGTTTGAAGGCCCCTGGTTTGTAGTGACCCATCCAGAATCTCAACAAGGCTAATTGCCCCACCAGCTTACACCTCCATATTTATATTCTCTTATATTTGTCGTGGCTGTCCTCTTTCTGGCTACCCCTGAGGTGCAATGATTGGAAATAGATAATAACAGATCATCAGAGTTGGAAGGGACCTTATAAGTCATCTAATCCAAGAGAGACCCTACATCATTTCTGACAAATGGCAGTCCAGTCTCTTCTTCAAAGCTTCCAGTGATGAAGCTCCCACAACTTCCAAAGGCAAGCCGTTCCGTTGGTTGATTGTTCTTACTGTCAGAAAGTTTCTTCGAATTTCCAGGTTAAATCTCTCCTTGTTCAGTTTCCATCCATTATTCCTTGTCTGGCCTTACACTGCTTTAGAAAATAGCTTGACCCCCTTCCTTTTCTGTGGCAGCCCCTCAAATATTGCAACACTGCTATCATGTCTTCCCTGGTCCTTCTCTTCATTAGATACCCAGCCATGCCCAGTTCCTGCAACCGTTCTTCATATGTTTTAGTCTCCAGTCCCCTTATCATCCCAGTTGCTCTTCTCTGTACTTTTTCCAGAGTCTCAACATATTTTTTATAATGTGGTGAGCAAAACTGGATGCAGTACTCTGGGTGTGGTCTTACTAAAGCTTTATAGAGTGTATCATTATTGTAATTCATACACGCAATTTTACTCATTCTTATATAGAGTGGTATTCACTTGATCTCGATTGTATCCCTCTGTTAATGCACTTTAGGATTGCATTAGCATGCAGTTTAGGATTGCAGGTTTCCACTTGCTAGTTTTCTTCTGTCTCAACAGTATGGCCTTTGTGACCCTCACAATATGGGTGTTGTAGTACTGTTGCCATGGGCTTTCTTGTCCTTTACACCTGCCTTCCCCCGCCCCCAAACAGTTCTCAGCACAGAATGAGAAAAAGTGCCTTTGCCGTCCCCTACGCTTCCCAATCCCGTCTCCTCGCCAACCACTTAGGTCCGTCTCAGGTTTGGCTTTCATTGAGGTTTAAAGCCAAGGCTGTCACCTCGATAGAGCTTTCCCCGGAGTTCTAACTTCAGGCGACCAAACGGAGCCCGTCCCCGTGGCTTTCCTCGAGATAGCTTGCCTCTGCTTCTTCCAAGGGGTGGGTGGGTGTGTGTGTGTGTGTGTGTGTGTGTGTGTGTGTGTGTGTGTTTTGTTTAACTTCCCAGCCTAGCCCTGGGATTTCCTGGTGGTCTCCCATCCCCGTCCTGGTCCAAAGTAACTTCCCTCCACCGGCCCTCCGCGTTGACAGACAAGGGGTGTGTGTGTGTGTGTGTGTGTGTGTGTGTGTGTTTTCCAGGGGGTTCAATGAGAAAATAAACCGCCCTCGGAGCTCGGCTCTACCTGGAAGTGCCGGGTGGAGCGCTCCTTATCAGCCGGCTCAGCGCGGTCCGGATGCACCCGGAGGGAGACCCTGTGGTAGCCCCGGCGGATCTCATTGGCCGACGCCTCAGGCCTCACGCCCAGCACTTGATACAGGTCGCCCGCACCGAAGGCCTCCCGGCAAAGCTCCAGCAAACCCATCTTCTTCTTGTTAATTCTGGTGGTTGGTTTTCTTTTTTTCCCGCGACACAGAACCCGAGTCGCTTGTGCGCATGCGCGAATGCGGCCCCTCCGCCTCTTTCTCCTCCTCAGCAGCGCGCGCGCGCCGCGGGGGGTTCCCGCCAGTCGTGCTCCCCGCCCCCACGCCTTTTACTTTACGGCGCGGCTCGGGCGATGTCGCAAACAAAGGGAGTCAAGGAAATCGAAGGATCCGGGGGAGCGTGAAACCATAGAGATAGGGAATGGGTAGAGGCGCGCGCCAGCTGCAGTTTGTCCTCGACTTACGACCGCAACGGAGCCCCCAAAGCGTCTGTTATTGTGACATTTCTGAAGTGGGTTTTGCCCCTTTTTTGCCACGCTGGTCAAGTGAGTCACTGCAGTTGATGAGTTAGTAACCTGGTTGTTCAGCGAACCGGGCTTCCCCATCGAGTTTGCATGTCAGACCGGTCGCAAAACGGGATCACGTTGTGGCCAAGGGATACAGCAACTGATCATAAGAATGAAACAATTGCCAAGCATCTGAATTTTGATCATGTGATCCTTGAGGGAAGGCCTCAAAGGTTGCAACTGTGAATAACCGTCACAAGTAACTTTTTGTCAGTGCTGTTTAACTTGGAAGGGTGATTACATGAACCCTTGTAAGTTGGGAACTACCTGTACTCAACGGATCCGGAGAGGCGTGCTCTGCTTCCTGAGACATTAATGTGAGGGATGCAGAGGTGGTATTCAGCAGGTTCTGACCAGTTCTGGAGAACCGGTTGCGGACATTTTGAGTAGTTCAAAGAACCTGCAAATACCAGCTGCAAAAAAGGACCCAGCTACAAATACCAGCTGGGTCCTCTTTTGTTGCCCTGTGCAGGAGAACGGAGCTGGAAAGCAGGTTAGTGGGGTGGGGAGGGAATGGGGATTTTGCAGTAACCTTCCCTTGCCACGCCCACCAAGCCACGCCCACAGAACCAGTAGTAAAAAAAAATTGAATCCCAACACTGGAGGGATAAGTATGTCACGCTTACTCCTGGTTTATGACTGCCAGACTAGAGTTTGCTTGCAAAAGGACGTTCACTGCAAGAGACCCAAAAGGGAAAGTTTGCTCACCTGAGGTGCTAGGCAGCTTTTTTCAGTTTCCGTTTTTTCCAACCTGGGGCTGTCCAGGGAACCCTGATGATGATTTGTACATCACAGCTTAGTTATTTCCTAAGTATTCAGTACAGACAGTCCTCCAGTTACAAGAGTTCGTTTAGTGGACGTTCAAAGTTACAACGGCACTGAAAGCAGTTCATTTAGTGACCGAAGTTACAACTCACCGAAAAAAAGTGACTTATGACTGTTTTTCACATTCATAATGACCATTGCAGTGTCATGTTAACAAAATTCAGATGCCTGGCAGCTGACTCATATTTATGACATTTGCAATGTCCCGGGATCATTGCGACCTTCTGACAAGCAAAACCAATGGAAAAGCCAAATTCACTTAGTATTACTAATTGAACAACAGTAGTGTTTCACTTAACAATTGTAGCAGGTCGTAAAATGGGGCAAACCTCACTTAACAATTGTCTCCTCCCACCCCCCACCCCCCAAAATGTGGGCTCAATAGTGGTTATAAGTAGACTATGATTTTTATAGAAATGTTCCCGAGCCCTTTACAGTGCAAAATAAGATTTAGAATCTGATAGGAAGGTTCAACGATCTTCATTCAGAGCAGCATAGGCAAATCAAAGACTCTGAATCCAAGCGAAAAAACTAGATGCAAGTCTAGTTTTACAAGTGAGAAAGCGATCAATTAACTGCCATTAGCTACCAGAAGCATCATAAACTCACCCCCCCCCCAAAAGATATTAGCAGTAGCCCAGAATCATATGGGGAAGGGGTTCCAGTGAGTTTTTCTGGCCTAGTTTTCCACGATCAAGATTATATAGTGATGCAACCTAATTCTCTCTCTCAAACTCTACATGGAGAGTAGTGGAGTATTACATGGAGAGTAATGTAGTAGTACATGGAGCCTGGAGTATTTCTGCTGTCATTGACAATTGTTAGTTTGCTCATGTACAAATATTTACTGTCCACTAGTCTATATATTGATGAAAACCATACTTCATTATAAAGTGAATATTAAAATATACTGGTTTCTTGACATCACCAGTGTGAAACCTTTTACTGATTTTCTTTCCAAGATACCTATTTTACTGGGATTTTTTCACTATGGCACTATTTTCCCTGTCATTCTAGGTACTGGTAGAAATACCAGCTTTCAAACTGCTCAAACAAGGACTACATTTTAGTGCTGTAAACCAGGGAATTGTAGTTCTCCATGAGCTGGCGGGGGGGGGGGGGGGCGGCGACGGAGAGCAGGACACCTCCTGCAGCACCCTGCTGGCCAAAACGGGGCGCAGGGGGGCTCACACAGCCCCCTTGCACTGTTTGGGCTGGCAGAGTGCTGAGGGAGGCTGTTCAGGCTGAAAACAGGATGCCATGGGGTTGCATCCCTCCCCCCCCCCCATTTTGGCTCCCAGAGGCACCATGGGCTGCTTCTTTGCTATTTCCAGGCGGGCCCTGCAGGGCAGATTTAAGCATCCCACGGACCTTGTGTTTGACACCCCTGCTGTACACTAGGGTTTCCACTAAGTTGGGCAGAGTCCTATCAGCAACATTAAATTGTATGTTCCTACATTCTATTTATTGGAATTTCTCTTCTCCCACCCAACAGACGGTATCTCCAAAATCGGTATCTCCAAAATTCTGGAGTAGAAAAAATATGTTAGGACTCATTCTGCTGACACAAGAGCAGCAGTGGCGCAGTCGTTAGAATGCAGTACTGCAGGCTACTTCTGCTGATCACTGGCTGCCAGAAGTATGGCAGTTCAGGTCTCACCAGCTCAAGATTGACTCAGCCTTCCATCCTTCTGAGGTGGGTAAAATGAGGACTCAGATTGTTGAGGGCAATAGGCTGACTCTGTAAACCGCTTAGGAGGGGGCTGTAAGGAACTAAATGGTCTATAAGTCTAAGTACTATTGCAGTACTAATCACTCTGCCAGATCTAAACAACAATACTAATATATTTTGCATAAACCGTATTATAATTATTTATTTTTTGCAATTGTTTTATGTGCATATTCCTATGTGCTGTTACTAGACATGTTAAATGAATCTTCAAAATACTATTGAAAATTTGTGGACCAATGGTTTAATTACAATTGAAATTTGTTATAGAATACACACACACACACACATATATATTTATATGTTTTTTTTTAAAAAAAATATTTGTTTTCTTAAGTTTTCGCGGGTACTTACATGTATGGCATTCAGCTTTGTTTGGGTATTTTCCCACGTCGTTGTACTTGTGCTTTTAAAGTTGTAGCAACGTTTCGGCAGAATCTCATCTGCCATCTCATCTGCTACAGAAGCCTGATGATGGCAGATGAGATTCTGCCGAAACGTTGCTACAACTTTAAAAGCACTAATACAATGACGTGGGAAAATACCCGAACAAAGCTGAATGCCATACATGGAAGTACCCGCGAAAACTTATATATATATATATATATATGCATGCTTTCTCTACATATACATATATTATTTATATATTTATCTACATATATTTGTCCACTAAATTATTGTAATAAATATTTCACTGCAATAAATATTTCAATTAAATTGCTATAAATCACAAGACACAGGTTTGTACTTCAAGATGTTTTAATTAAAAAAAAAACTATGTCCAATAGTTATTTAGACATTTTTTGGGGAAAAACCCCCTTTCCCATGATTAGCAATCACTTAAATTTCCACAAACTTGATTATAAATGCTTGACTCTTTACAAAAAAAGTAAAATACTTGTATTTATGGGGAATAACCCTCAATAAATAACAAATGATTTTCACTTGCAGTCAAGAATAACAAAGACATTTTTAAACTTATTCCTAAGATGGTTTTACTCTTGTACAGGTTTTCTTTGTTGCTGATGAAACAATATTGCTTTTCAAATATTTATTTTCAGCTTAATGGTTCTGTTTCAGGTTTTTGTCGTTTTTGTGTCATTTTGAATTTATAATTTAGAACATCTCCACGCCCACTTGCTTTCATTTGCTCTTCCCATGATCTCATTTCATTTTCGTAGCGAATCTTATCATCTTCAGCAAGCTGGCTGTAGGTCTGTGAAGTAGTATATGAACTAGTCACTTATATTAAGTTACAATCTTTAACTGCATTTTGATTAATCCCAAATTGAAAGCAACTCATATGAATTGTGCAAAGGTATAAACCACAATTTAGAAACCTTTATGGCTTTGGTCTACATAACTCTCTAAATTAAAATCAAACAAATCTCATGGTTTAATTTCATGTATGAAACAGTTACAAAGAAATGGGGTTCCAAAAATGGTGAATGTCTGCAAATTGTCACACAACCAATGAAGCATTTCTCTGCAAAACCTCAAGCATCTCTAATGTTTCCCAGGATTTAACATTATATAGGAGCTGTTTATGCAAATTCCCATGGGGGTGGAAGGGAATCAGCTTGGTTAGCTATGATCTTTTTTCTGTTTGAAACACAAGCCTTTGTATCTGGCAAAATTTAAGTATGGTAAAAATCAGTATCTTAAGGTGGAACAAAAAACAGCCCTTAAGCTAAATTTGCTCATATTATTAACTTAAAATTTATATAACTGAGATGTTGTCAAAACTACAAATAGTTTCAGCTTTTCAATATTATTGAATTTTGCAATGTCTACCATTAAAGTACTGCTTGCATTTTAAAAAGTATTGAATGTATGCACAAAGCAGGCACTGGTGAAGAATTTGTTGATGAATTTAATGGTCACATAAGAGCTCCTTTTAAATAGCTATGTGTATTATTTAATAATCAATAAAATAAAATAATTGTATTTTTTTAAGTAATGGGAAAATCGGATTCCCTGGAGTCTCAGGTCTCAGCCTGAAATTATTTATCCCCCAGTTATTTGGAGGAAAGCTACGGTACAAATAGTATTCAACTAACAAGGGCAAGTGGAACTGGGATTTCCATTGCTAAGTGCAGTGGTTGTAAACTGAACCCAATGATTGTTAGGTAAGACAACTTCTTGCCGGCTTCCCACAGCCAAAGTCATGGGGAAGTTGGCAGGAAGCTGCAAGTTCCATGTCAGCAGGCAGGTTATTGGTTGCGGTTGGGTGAGGGAGGGAGGGAGCAAGAGAGTCCGCAGGAGTGAGCCTGAGAGGCGAGTGCAGTAAAAGCATGGAGGGGCTGAGGTGTGCACGGTAGGGAAATTTATCTCAGCAACTTGTGACCTTCTATGCTATTTTGCCCACTGATTTTCTCGGGAAGGTTGCAAATGGTAATCATGTGATCACTGCAACCAGTCGTAAGTCATAATCAAAATCATGCCCGCGGGGGTGCTAGAGGGCTGGAACTATGACGATCAGTCAAAACTACCACTTGTTCAGAGGCGTTGTTTGTAACTTAAAATGACTGCAGACAAAATGACTGTAGGCTGAGAACGATCTATAAGAAACCAGAGTTCGCTATGAATTGTTGAAGGACAGCCATGTTACCCTTAGGACAGCCAAAAACCAGAAGTCTGGTATACCTTTTTCAAATAACAAATTGTATGGAATGGCATAAATTTTCCTGAGATGTAGCTTATTTCATCTCATGCGAGGAGCTGCTTTTTGAATGAGCAGGTTTAAATCTTTTACTAATACAGTCTTCTGATCTTTTTTCAACTGATAAACAAATAATTCAGACACAATAGATCAATAACCCTAGGTTCATATATAGACCGGTTTCCAATAATTAGAGCTATGACATAGCCCACGGATATCAAACTCGACTGCATCACAGGCTGGATCCTGACTTTTTTGCCCTTGCGGAGCTGGGGTGGGCATGACCTACGTGTGACATATACGGGCCCCCATTTTGACAGACCTGATATAGACAACAACTCCTTTCACAGTAGTACATTCAATTATCAACATTTAAAAACCTTTCGCTGCAAACGTAAATATGATTTGTAATCTAGGTATCAGCTTAAATTTGGCATCAACACCAGTTTTATGGCAGTACCTGCTTTTGAAAACCGGATAGGGTTTTCCATTCTTCACATAAAGCTTTAAACTTTTCCTAAGTGAAAGGGAAAAAAAAAAGAATTCACTAAAATTATGTGGAAATCCCTTAGTCACGTTATTTGTTCTGTACTTATGTTAGACAATATGTATTAGTCTAAAATAAGACTACCAAATGATCCAATGTAAATAAATTATAATTAATTTTATACTGCTCTTCAGTCAATTTATGGTACTTGTGAGAATCTATAAGTACAGCTATAAGTGATTCACAATAAAATTACAAACTCAGCAAACTTAATTTTTGTTGAGTTATGGATGAAGCAGGAATGAAAAATGGAATGGCAAAAGCAAAGTTGATAAATTATAAATAGCTTTCCTAAATTCTTACTTGCTAGCTAATTTAATAACTAAAGGACCCTAACATTACTTTTGGAAATATGTGGTTTCTTCTCTGCAGATCTCCAAAGTCAAATAATAACTTATGTGTTGAAACTGGAAATAATCTTTAAAAATTTAAAGTAGCTCTGAAAAAAAAAAAGGAAATTAAAACTCAGTCATTAAAATTAGGTGATACAGGTAGACCTCAACTTACAACAGTTCATTTAGTGACTGTTCAAAGTTACAATGGCACTTAAAAAAGGCACATGACTATTTTTCACACAACCGTTGTAGCATCCCCATAGTCGCATGATCAAAATTTATATGGTTGCAGTGGCCTAGGGTCATGTGATCCGCTTTTGCTACCTACTGACAAGCAAAGTCAATGGGGAAGTCAGATTCACTCAACAACCATGTTACTAACTTAACAAATGCAATGATTCATTTAACAACCATGGCAAGAAAAGTCATAAAATGGGGCAAACTCACTTAACAAATGTTTCACTTAGCAATATAAATTTATGGGCTCAATTGTGTTCATAACTTGAGGACTACCTGTATATTATTTTTTTGTTACCATTAGTTTTATTCACTTGGGGGGAGGGTACAGTATACCAATTCATTTCAGGGATTTGGAATAATACAAAGTTTAACACTCTTTTCTTTATGTTACTTGCCATCTCATTTTGTTTACCTGATTTGAGGTGCCTTTAATTTCTTGGAAATGTTCAGAAACAAATATATTGAAGGAACTCCGATTTTTTTTTGGTTTTCCAAATGCTGTTAATTCCTAGGTAACAAATGGACAGGATTTTTGTAAAACAATGTGTTTACTGATAAGGAACACCATTCAAGGAAAGTCAGTAAGAGACTGAACATTAAGGCAATTTGGAAGCATCCTATATCTCAGAGCCTGCTCGGAATTCCAGTCCCTACTAGAGAGTCCAATTTTACTAGTACAGCATTCCATTATGAGGCACTTTCATCACATTATTTAAATGATATTTTATTGTCAAGATTCAAAAGATTGTAAAGGAGAACAGAAAGGAATAATCTGAATGTAAGCATACTGGCTTTATAGTTAATAGACAAAAAACAATTATTTTTATTATTGGCATTGACAAGTTACTATCAGTCAATTGTAAAAGGCAGCTTTACTTGGAACAGCTTAAATAGCCTCAGCTATCGACATCTGCCTATTTCAGGTCCTTGAGAAGGACTGACTAGGTGAATAAAAATGCTAAATTCAGTCAGGCTGACTGTGCAACAAACCATAATAATAATAAACTTGGAAATTAGGAAGGTCCATCAATTTGATCCTGAGTTTTCAGATATTAAATAGGGCTTGTCTTTTGGTGCCATTATTTTATTGTTATTTTTGTTTGGTTTTTAATCCTATATTCACTGCCCAGACTCACAATTGCAAACAAGCAACCATATAATTTGAGTTAGAAATTAACTCTGATATTAGTATGTGAAATATATCCTTCGATGGCATATAACTTGATCAAAAGATGTGACCCATGTCATTTATTGTTAGTGTGAATTAACACAATTTAGAGGTTTCTTTATCAAAATAATGGTAAGTATACACAGTGGGTCACAGTTAGAGATATTTCAAAAGGAAAAAAACCTCACACACAAACAAAACCAGGATAAAATGTATTTAGTACTGAGGATTTGCTGGTTACAACAACGTCCTCAAATATTTGGATGATGAGAATAGTAAGCACTAACCTTCTTTATTTTTGCTTGTTTTCTTATTTGTCTCCTTATCCTTTTTTCCTCTTTCAAAGCTGCCTCCTCTACAGGATTTAACTCAGATTTATATTTGGCCATTTGTTCTTTATATTTATCCCGTTCCGATTTCGCAATTGCTTCATAATGCTAAAAATAAAGAAAACTAAATTTTGCAATAAACAGGTACACACATCTATCACGCAACACTGAAAGGTCAAATATTAAAGAAATGACATTATCTTTCTATGAATACAAGAAGCATTTCTTGTCAGTTCTAAGAGTTCAAGATTCCTAATTTGCATTGCACTCATGTTGGAAGCGATGCTTCTGGGTTGAAAGGATTAGCAGATGACATTACCATTGCCCTGGGATCCCCAGTTGGGGGCTCCTTTCACAGAAGCTAAAGCGAAGGATGGGAGATCACCCCGCTCAGTGGTGGGATTCAAAAATTTTCCTACCAGTTCTGTGAGCGTGGCTTGGTGGGTGTGGCAGAGGAAGGATACAGTAAAATCTCCAGTCAGAGGTGGCATTTGCTGGTTCTCCGAACTACTCAAAATTTCCACTACTGGTTCTCCAGAACTGGTCAGAATCTGCTGAATACCACCTCTGGCTGCTCCAACGCAGCACTCAGGTCTTGATCATGGGCTTGCTAACCTCCAACCCAGCATCCTAACCACATTAGCCACTGTACTCCATGATTCCTAATGAAAATAATATTCTATTTGCAAGCAAATAAATAATACGTATAGAGGACAAAATCATACATACTTGTTTTTCATGTTGTGGTAATTCCCTCCAGATACGCCCAATCTCTTTTGTTAACTGCTGACTGTTTAGTTCTAGATAATAGCAATAATATGACTATAATAGTAATAATAATCTATAAAGATTTACAATTTACATGACACCTGTATATCAGAGCAGTAGCAGACTAAGTTAAACTTTAATATCTATACCATTCACAATTACCCCAATTATCTGAGAAATCTAAACAAGAGATTTAGTGAGCAAACTATATTTCTTTAGCTATGAAATCACTCCCAATTCTTTTACATAACAAGAAAAAAAGGGATAATAGCTTTTTAGGGAGATTGTCCTTTTGGGAAAAATAATCGTAACAGTAAATTCCAATGGTGCAATTACTAGAAAAAAAAGGCAGAAGGATGTGTGGCACATCGGTTTTGTCTGACTGCCATGTCTCTCTGGCCGGCTGCTGCTGGACCTGCCGCCGCTGGCCTCATGGGGGCTCTTCACCCTCCTGGGCATGCTGCTCTCAGCCGCTCTGCTAAGCTACTCCTATTTGGCGTGGGGCAACTAAGCCCAGATCTACGGCCTCCGGAGTGCCTTGCCTGCCATCACCTTTGGGCTGTGCCACTCCCATCCTGCACAACCTCCATGGCAGCCCTGCTGCGGGATGGAGATCACCCCTTCCTCCTTCGTGCTCTCAAACCCCACCTTCCCTGGCCGCTGAGCCAGCCTGGCCGTGGCAAGGGTTGATCAGCAGAGGACTCCAGCCTTGCAATCCTGCACAGAGAAGGTGGAGGTTTGTTCCAGGGCTGTAGCAGAGTGTTGCACCAGGAGGCCTTCACAGGTAACTCTTGGTCCAGCAAAAGAGCTGCAGGCTGGGGGCTTGGTAGCCAGGGAAGGTGGGATTTGGGGGCACAAAGGAGAAAGGGGTAAATTCCCACTTCCTCCCATTGCAGGGCCGCCGTGGAGCTCATGCAGGGCAGGGGACAGATCTTGGCCGAGTTGCCCTATGCCAGGCAGGAGCAGCCCAGCAGGGTGGCCAAGAGCAGTGAGGCCAGGAGAGCGAAGAGCCCCTGCGAGGCCAGCAGCAGCAGGTACTAAGGCCCAGCAGAGGCATGAGGGGGAGAGAGCTGATCATGACGTGCTGCACAGCCTTCTGCTTCGTCATAGCAGCAACAGCCTGAGCAAGACCCAAGCATGTCCCAGGAACAGCAGGGCCAGCAGGCAGGGCGGGTGGAGGCCGGAGCACGCAGAGAGCTTGGTTTGTTGCGGCCGCAGGCAAGTAGATTGTGGGACAGAACCCGCAGTAGCAGCAGCTCCACTCCCAGTGGCTCCTGTGCTCACCACCTCCTGTAGGTGAAAAAAATAAGCATCCCCAAAATAAGCTCTAATGCTTACTTTCAAGCCCAAAAGAAGACAAGCTCAAAAATTTGGGCTCGCAAATAAGCACGAGGGCTTATTTTGGGGGATGTCTTATTTTTGAGAAAACACGGCATATACATAAATAACACAGATTTTTGTGGACTTATTTCTTTCAGTTTAGTAACTTAAAATATTTTTATAACTTTAAAATATTTATAACATGCCCTGGAAAACTGATCGGATTACAACTAAATTCAATAAAAGTACATTAAACAGATATCAAGGAAACAAATTTCTTAACTTTAGACAAACTTACCTGGATATTTTTTCTTGTAAAAGTCACGCTGTTTATTTAGAAAAATAAGGTATGATGGCAGAGGACGCTTTGGACTACTGACAGAACTAAAATATTTTGAAAAACATTTCTCCAGTGAAGGAGTGACAGTGCATCTATGGTAGACAGAAACAAAAACATCAACTATTAGTACATTTAAACTGTAACAATTATATAAATAATGGGAAGCTAGGCATTGTTTAAAAAAAGACACATAAACTGAAGAGTTTATGAGAAAGCAGGCACCAATAAAGGGAAATATTTGTAGTTTCAAGATTGAAATGAAGGGTCCTTGGTGCTCTCTAAACTTGTTTTTTTTTTTGAACACATTTTATTACCCCAGTAATATCATCAGTGCAAAAATATGAAAGTCAGTTACAAAGATATCCTAATTACAAAATTAGAAATAATGTCCTAATTTAAACATTTTATCTAAGCCTAAAACAAAATCACCAAGGTTTTAAAGTTGCACCTTGATTTCCTCTAAGATATGGAATCTCAAAGTGAAAGCAGGAGGAAAATGAACAGTAAGAAAGAAATATTACATAGAACATATTTGTCTGAATTCTACATAAAATTAATCACAATGTTAAGTTTTGAAAGATCCCAGACTGGACTACACTAGCCTTTCTCAATCTGGAAGAGCCCTTTAAACAATGTTCACCTCTGGGGGGGAACCCTTGCATAAAAATGACAAAACCCTGCCACAAAAGCTTCACAATTCAGTTCAAACCTAAAAACCCCACATTTTACAACACTTAATAATTGCAAAGCAATAAATCCGCTGCAGCTGGAAATTCCTACCACCACGAGTGCTAACATTGGGAAGGCGCAAATTTCAAAAGAGAAAATGTTTCTCTTTTTCAACCTCTGGGCAGAACCTTATAAACCCACAAAGTAAACAAGGTGCAGGGACTCATAATACCAGATGGCTTATTTCTGGCTTAGCAGTTATGTGCCCATTATAGCAGAAAAACTTTTTGTGGGTTTTTGATGGCTTATTGATTGCAATGGCACAAAACACTTTAGTGCGCTTTTGGTTTTGTGCTGATTTCGCTTGCTTGATTTAATTTTTGCACTCTAACCCAAACATGAACCCCATTCATAGTTTATAAACGCAAGTCTTTTTTTAAAAATAAACAATAAGGTGGATACTAATAGAGATACAGCCTTCTCAAATCCCTTAAGTATATTAAAAACCAGCACACACTGTTCTAATAAAAGCTTCTTTACGTAAATGCCTATTTATAATTCAAAAGGACAGGAAGGGAACCCAATGGGGAAGGCATTCCCAATAAAATAACCCGGGATGAAAGGGCAAGGGCCGTAACTGAGGCTCGCGGGGCTGAGAAAAAAAGCCTCGTAATTTAGCACATTTTTATCTTAAAATAGTAATAGTAATCTGGGTCCTTTTTTTTCTGGAGGCCCAGATGAGGAAAATGCAGGCAGATGAAATTTGGAATTACAGGTAGGATTCTTATAGCTAGAAAGCATAAAATGGCTATTCTTAAGAGGCTCGTGTTTTTATAACCATTTTTAGTACCGAATTACTATAATTCCAGGCCCCGGTTTCTGAAACAGACGCCCTGTGCTTCGGTTCCTCGTGTCTTAAGACACACGAGGAGACAACCCCCCACCCCACCCCCAAGAATAGGAAAACAAGGAAGAAAGGTGAAAATGAGGCTGTGGGTACGAGCTCTTGCTGGGCCTCCAATCGGCCCGGGGGACGTTAGAACCCCAATCGGTCAGGTCGCTGGAGGGTCGCTCTGAAAGCGGCCGTCGAGCGAACCAGCCCGGTCCCCGCCAAACGAAGGTCAGCGGGACAGAGGCGCCGAAACATTGGGAAGGAAGCGGGCATGAACGCCGGGATTTGCTTTACCTGAGGAGGCCACGTGAGCCAGACACGGATACCGAGGCTAACAGACGAGCGACCAGCGCTACCGCCATCGCGCTCTTCCCCTCAGGCGACCCTCAGCCCTCCCTCCCCCCCCAAATCCCGCGCCCAACCGGTACGGTCCAAAGGCGACCCGGATGTTCCTTCGCCGCCGACATAAAGGGAGGCGGGACTCCGCTCGGCGCATGCGCCCTGGCAGCCCGAGAGGTGGGGGTGGGTGGAAGGAGACACACTCTTTGGGGTTATGTCAACTTCCGCTTTCTATGCGTGGTCCGTAGTCAATGTATAGATAGAATATAGAAAGAAAAGAGGAGATGGTGGGTTTGGGGGAAGGGGCACCGACAAAGAAGTACCCTTTGTTGCCGTTATCCCGGATAATGTTGGGAGCCAGCCGTGACCCCGCCCCCGAAAGCCCTTTGGTGATGCACGTGCACTTGGATCCTTTTGGCGGGAAATCAAGTTTCTACGGCAAAACCAATCAGGGGAAAGGGAGACTTTATTCCCGCCCACGCCGGGAAAAGAAGGAATAGGTGAGGTAAAAATGGAGGCGGGCTCAATGGGCCATGTGCCTGTTAAGTCCTCCCAGAGACGGAACTGGGGTGGAAACGAAAGGATGGCGCATGCGTGCTACCATCTGAAAGCGGCGACAGTAGGGAAATGAAAACTGGGGTTTGTGTGAAGGCTATGGGTGCCAAGAAGCCGCCCAGAGCCTTTAGAGCAGGGGTCCCCAAACTTGGCCAGTTTAAGACTTGTGGACTTCAGTTCCCAGAATTCTCCAACCAGCTGGAGAATTCTGGGAGTTGAAGTTCACAAGTCTTAAAGTGGCCAAGTTTGGAGACCTCTGCTTTAGACTAGAGCAGGGGTAGGTAGGGAAACTTGGCTCTTTTATCACTTATGGACTTCAACTCCCAGAATTCCTGAGTGAACCATAAAAGGTTCCCCCATCCCTGGCCGCCTGGTTTTTCAGTTGTGGGGAAAATCATTTTTTGACTTGAATGGGACTGATTAATATACAAATATATAATATGTCCTACATTTGTAGATTAGTCAAAAATTGATTTCCCCCACAACTGAAAAACCAGGCGGCCAGGGATGGGGAACCTTTTATGGCTCACTCAGGAATTCTGGGAGTTGAAGTCCATAAGTGATAAAAGAGCCACGTTTCCCTACCCCTGGCTAGAGGACCAAGGGTCCTCTTTAACAAATGAAGCTGCATAGTAGACTCTGGTGTGCTTCAAGAGCTTGTGCTCTTTCATTTCTGGAGAATTTTTTTCACTTGGGCTTCCTGTTCCAGTATTTTAAAAAATCTAATGTCTTTGAAAGCAGCATAAATCGACTAAATTTGCTCAAAAATCAGGAACACTAAAGAGAGCTTTTGCTTGTTTTGCTAATGGTGAATTAACAATGGTATATTAAGTTTGCCCCTGTACCTTTTATGTTTCTAGTTCTGTAATACAAGGGCATAAATTTCTGTGAATCATGTTCAAGAAGTGGATGCAGAATTCTTTCAATATTTCTGCAAATTACAGGAGCCTTTATACCCCCTTTTGGAAGAATACTTTGGGAAAATAGTTTGCTCAAAGCAGCCTTACTGAATATGTATAATACAATAATCAATCTTATAGTTTTGTTGATAGCACCAAACTGACATTTGGACAGTACTACCACTGCTCCTTTTTTTCATTCATAAAAGGTGAAACGGCAGGGTTAAAAATACAACTACAAATTCCAAGTTCAAATCAAAATTTTATTTTCATTCAAGCCTCAGCTGATATCTTCAGGCAGAAAAATACCACATCAGAAGTAGCTAGAAAGCACACCTTATTTAACATTAACTAGAATGACTAAAGATTACATTTTAAGAATTTCACTGATACAGAGATCCTTTGCTTTAGTCATACCAATTATGTCAAGTGAGGATTATACAGAAAATGGGATGGCTCAGTTAGTGCCCTCGCTAAGGCACTGTACAGTATAAACTGGCATTTGGTGGAGGGACTGAAATTCAGACATATTTATGCCACCATAATGGATGCACCAGGACTGAGCAAATATTGAGATGGGGTGAGTGGATGATAAAACCAACCATCGTGAGTCACTTAAAAACAAAATGACCAATTTCCAGAAAATGCAAAAACAAATAAATTACAGAGAATTCTTAACACCTTTCAGTTAACTGAATCTCTAGTCCAGATGCCTGCTTAAAGATGTTACTGTTATTTATTAAGATTAGTCTGGAAGTTCAGTTTATGAAACCAGTCTCTGAACTTCAGTTTTAAATGTCAACTGAAGACATTTGTGGTACTTAAACGATACTTCATAGAACCCAATGAACAATAAGCAGCAACCTCATTTACACCTTTTGCTCAGCCTGAAGATTTTGCATTATGGCTAGTAAATTCCTCCGATTAAGTATACTTCAAAGCATAACAACATCAAAATAATTTCAAACCATCTTCCATATAATTTCAGTAAAGCAGATTAAACACTCTTTCACTTAACAGCCATGCAAATCAAACTACCAAATTTCACAGAGCCTATTATAAGAAGGAATATGGGATATTCTGGGACGAACTTATTTTAAACATTTAATACAGATAAAATGTGGAAAGTCAGAATCTTTTACCACTGTTTTTAAATGCTGATGACAGAATGTTAATAGCTTCACAAGCAATGGCATCCCCCTTTTTTTTCAAGTATAGCGAAGGATTCATTTACTGCATGGAAACATGTATTGGCTATTTGCAGAGATGGCCTGTTTCACAATAAGCAATGACACTAATGCAATGAAGTTTCAGTGCTATCTTATAAAGCTTCCATCTTTAGATTGTACTGAGGTAAAACCAAACAAACAAAAACCTCTGAAGCCTTGCTGATTTTTATGCATAAATTGCTCAGTAAAGACTTTTTCATAGGCAGTTAGCGTGATGAAAAAAAATGTAGAGATTAAAATGCTTAAAAGGTTATGAGTAAAGCCAAGTAAACAGAAAAATAGCCTCTGGGGTGTTTGCCACATTTTGATGCATTCCAGTTATGGGTTTTTGTTTGAATACTTTTGGGGTCGCGAAGCACTAAGATAATAAAGGGTTAACTTTTATCTATGGCAGCAAAATCTTCTAGCTAAATTGATTTTTAGAATTATTTCAGCTACAAATTAAGATGCATTTCATACTGGTTTAGTACCACAAAATCTACATTAAAAAAATAATGCACTTATCTGTAAGGAACCAAAGGCTGTTTTTCCCCAAACATGCAGTATACACATACTGGCTTTAGCATATCAGATCAAAATATTGTTAATACAACTGGGGGAAAAAGCATTTGAGATTTTCTAAAATCAACTGTTTTTATCATAAGCACATTTTCCAAACTACTTTGCAAGCTTGAAGGTACATCGTTTATACTGGATAAAAGATCGATCCGCTTAGATCAATAGAATACAATGAATAAGTAATTTGTTTAAAAGCTACAATAATGCTCTCAGGAGCATTTTCAAGCACATAGGTCAGTTATTCCCAATGGTACGTTATATATTGAACAATATTTTGATCTTTTCAGAGCATGCACAGGTAAAGGATGTGCTAGATTTAAAGAACAGCCAAGACAAGTAGTAAAAAACATGTTTTATTTATACGGAAAAGCTTCAAGTCAATTTTGTTAACATGTCAGAGATTATATTGCCCATATGGGATAAAAAGTCAGATGTGAATAGAACAAAATTAGTTACATTTCTTTCTACAGAGCAGTGCAATTAGTTCACATTGCAATAAAAGTATGCAACAAAATCAAAACCATGTGTTTCCCCATAATCAGCATACTGAAGATTAGAGTGCAAAGTTTGTTTTTAGAAGTCTATCAGTTTATAGAATATTCCTTTGGGAAGGAATAGTTCACTCATTTAGTAGCAGTTGTATTTTTCAATACTGTGCAGAAAGTCTAAAATGAGTTGAAATATATGGTAAATAAAATATAGTCTATACAGTAAAAAAATACAAATTATACAATGAGCTAACAAAGAATGACATTCAAACAGACTTACAAGACTGACATCTCAAAGACACAGAATATTTATTATGTACCACCTAGTTTTCAGCAAAAATAGTTTGGTTGCTCTACAACTGCACTATGAATCTTGTAGGCCGGAGATGCAGATGTCCAAGTATCTTTAAAAAACATAATAAATGTCTTTTGCAAAGCATACAGAAAGGATAAATACTCTCGTCACAGTCTTCAGGTTAATTTTTGTAGTTAATTTCCTTGTTCCAGAAACACACTTATATGGGTAAAAATCAAAAAGGGCTTCATGGTACACTGAAAACAGTAAACTGTGCTCCATTTACTTCTAATTTTGAAAAACCCTAAAATTTACAGTACTCTGGTATATAAGAAAATGTCTTCAAAGTTTACATTGCATATTTCTGTGTCCATTCTCTTGCATGTCTGTTATATCTGTCCAAGAAAAAAACAGTGAAAATATACAAGCTTATGATTCACAGCTGTATCACATTTCAAATACAATCAATGACAAGATACAAGCGCTTACAAAAGCCTTCTTCAGTCATATTGCAACATCCAGAATTCCTATGAAAACAATCATGCTGAGAGATTCTGGGAGCTGCAATTCTAACACACAATGAAGGCATGCAACTGGGAAAGCTGGCTTAAAATAGTCATGGTTTTCTAATCTACTGGAAAAAAATAGATATCTGTTTGGTACTGCAGAAATTTAAAGAAATTTAAAGATTGGTTTGTACCAACTTAGCTGGTCATAGTGGGATAAAAAAAAATCAAGCATTTTGGAGGAACCATTTTAACTGGACTGATTTGTAACAGCTAGAATACAGAATGTGTTGATGATTTCCATGGACAAATAAGGATTTGGATGAAAAAAAATCCCAGACTTATAATGATGATCTCAAGGGGGTGGAAACCCAGATATAAATTGCTGGCTCAAATATAAAACATGGATTCATCATTTTTTAATGACCCCATAATCCCTTGCGAGGTGGAGTCTGGGCAACTGAATGGAACTAGCAAGTGTTTTTAATGGCCAGATGCCCTTCCTGTCAACCAATGTGGGGTTGAGAAATATCTGCCACTAGCTAGGATTGAATTCACAGCCTTCTGATTGTGAGGCAAGAACTCCACCTCTAAGCCACTACACCACTCATATAAAACATGGATTAAATAACAATATAGCAATGGCACTTAGATTTATATATCACTTTATAGTGCTTTACAGCCCTCTCAAAGTGGTTTACAGAGTCAGCATACTGCCCCTAACAATTGGGGTCCTCATTTTACCCACCTTGGAAGGATGGAAGGCTGAATCAACCTTGAGCCTGGTGGGATTTGAATTGCCAAATTCTAGGCAGCTGGCTGCAGAAGTAGCTTGCAGTACTGCACTCTAACCACTGCACCACACAGGCTCCTTATATTTGCAACTTTTTCTGATAAAAGCAACTTTTATCTGATAAAAGCAACTTTTTCTGATAAAGGTGGAGTTTTACAGGCACACATCAGCAAGTATGTGGTACCACACTGATATGTGGTCAACACTTCAAGAAATACATGAGGTCCACTCCCGTAATAACTAAAGGATGACAATGCTATGAAGTACTGTCATGTCTTTTCTCCTCTTCTTATCAGGACAGTTAAGGAGATATTTAAAAATGAATCAGCTAGTTTACTATGTGAAACATTTTCCAAGCTTTGTAAATTGAAGTGTTCATACAATTTGTTTACTTACCTTTCTTAGATTAAGAGCACATATACAATTGTCTCACCACTCCAAAGCATAACAGATAACAGTTTTAAGACAAAGTATTTAGTTTAAATTTAAATCAGTTTAAACCTTCGTTCAAAGGTTTTTCTTGTTAAAGATAAAGGCTTTTTCAAGTTGAAGTCAATTCATGCTGTTTAAATGATCAGGGCTAGGGGTTATGCAAAATGTTCCATGTACAGGGTAAGTCCATACCCAAATTGAAATGTGCAAAAGGTATTATTGCTGATGCCTGCTAGATAATAAGACAGCCAGTACATCAATAAGTGCTTCATAGATTAAAGAAAAACATTTAAGTGGATTGTGCTTAGGAGAGTGTGAATCTTGGAACATCCTATTGTCCTCATGAGAAACCTTTATACAGGTTTGAAAGCCATAGTTCAGACCAATATGAGAAACATATGAGATATGGCTGTATCCTTTCCCCTTCAACTTACATGCTGAACATATATTAAGGGAAACTGAAAACCACGAGTGCGGTTTTAAAACAAGAAGTCAAACTTCTTGATTGGGGGAAATGTCTAGTAAAATAACTGAATAATTTTATCAAGATCTTTGTGGTGCGAGGAAAAAAACAGAAAAGAACAAACTAGTGGCTTACAATTTTTGAAGTAATATTTATACATACTTTTCCTTGTCTGACTTGTAGATTTGTGCAATATCTGGTACTAAAGGGTCATCTGGATTAGGGTCACAAAGTAGAGAGCATATGGACAAAAGCACTAGAGGGAAAGTAAAAATAATCAATTAGAATTTTCATGATGTAAGATACTAATTAGGCTGCAAAAATAGCTACTCACTTTTCATCTGTTTCATAATTTAATAGTTCCTGTTTTCCAATATTTGAGGAAACTAGCTGCTCCTCAGATTTACTAGCCCCTGCACATTAATATTTGGATATTCTAACATAATCGCAACTCTGGCCAATTCCAGAGGTGCTTCCTACTCTGAAAGAAATTTGGCTTCCTTAGCGGGATGCGTGGAGGCTAAAAATGGAATGCATGGAGGCTGAACATGGGATGCATGGAGGCCAAAATGGGGCACGTGGATGCCAAAAATGGGGCATGCAGAGGCCGAAAATGGGGCACGTGGAGGCCCAAAACCGGCTGTTTGCTGCAAGGAAGCAAATTGCTGGGAGGCAGATGCCGAAGAGTGGGGGCCAGTGGGTTGGTGGACGGGGCTTCGGCAACATTTGCTCTTTAAGATGCACAGAAATTTCCACCAACTTTTTTTGGGGGAGTGGGGAAGTGCATGTAATAGTGTGAAAAATACGGTACATTTTTTCAATAAAAAAAAAAAAAGCCAAGAGTTTACCACGAAACTAATTTTGGCAATCCTTTCATTTTTAAGAAACAAAATACTAATAGAGGAGTTAGTGTCTTAAAAATACAACTAATTTAAAATGGGCTGTTTCTGTATCTCCTCTTGGCTAGCGTGCCTCCCTTTCCCAAATATTTTAAAAACTGGTTAGGCATAGTAGTTTAAGAAGTATAAATGACATTATACTTCTAGTGAGGCAAGTTCCCCTCCTCTGAGCTGATTGTTTTAAAAGCACGTATCTGGCTATTAGGAAGTATTTTAAATATTTAAGTTACTTTAACACTTATAATACTTTAAGTATTTATTTAAGAATAAATGAGGTATCTAAAATTCAAAGTACTGAAGTTGGGAAAAAAGTTCTACACATTATATGAGTGGCAACTTGAAGTTGAATTTCCATAGGCAAAGGATATTTAAATTGAAGGCAACCTCGTCTAAATTCTTTCCATGCGCTAACTATATAACACAGGGCTTCTATCTGAAAGGCACACCTTGGAAAGTTATGGTGCAGATTTTAAATAACTGTGGAATTGCTCCATTCAATTAAGTTGTGTTTCTTTGTAGATAAAGAATATGGGTAACTTTTGGGTGGGTGACAATAACAGAGGAATAAAACAAAATTGTGTAAAATTCTATTATTCTATTATTTTTCATTCTTAATACCAGAGATCTAAGTGTATGAAACTGAGTGCTACATTATATAATAAAACCTTAAACTACTGCCACCAAAATAACTCCACTGTACCTTCTAGAAACTCAGTATTTTGGTTCCTAAGCATGGAGTTGACATCATCACTAGAGAATAGTTCAAAAAATGAGTAAAATTAAGATTAAGGAGTAAAGTGTTGCTTTTCAGATGGTAAGATATTGTCTAACATGTAGTTCTTAGTTATCCAAATATAACAGGGTTTTTCCCAGCTATGTAAATTGTCATAGCTTATGGCTTTGTCTCTCAGTTAGATCTTCCTAATGTTTATTCCAATTAATCCCTCAGAACCTAGTACAAATGACATGGAACGGTATTCCTCTATCTCCAGTTTCTCCTATTGCTTCTGGCATCAAAAATGATTTGGAAATTTCAGAAGCTATTTGTTAAAGTATGTATGTATGTATGTATGTATGTATGTATGTATGTATTTATTTATTTATTTATTTAATATATCTAATAATGAATTTTATTGCAAAAAAAAATCAGGAATCTAGTAGCACTTTTCCAACTAACAAATTTTATAAAAAGACACAAATGCTCGTGAGCTGTGTGCAGATTAAACAGTGTCAAGCTAAATTATGCTTTCAAACTGATTTTTTTAAAGTTACTATGTTAGGAATATAAGTCACCTAACAGCTATTTGGATTGGACAATATATAAACCAGGATAGACATTTTAAAACTGTCTGTTTAAGAGAATCATAAAAGTGTAATTGGATGTGGTTTTTCAAACAGCCATAAGATGGAGCCAGAAACCTGGGTTGTCTTTGGTCTTAGTCTCAGAAGAGAGTGTGTCTCAGTGAGTCTCTCTGTTTCCTTCTGTTAGAGAGTATTGCTGTTCCTTCTAATAGACTGCTATTCCTGAATTGATGTAAGTCTGATACTGAACTGTTTTTGACACTGGACTTTGTTACTGGAGTATCCCTGGACTGAAAACTATACATTCAATCTTTTTACAATGAATTTTGCTGTCTAGTGAAGTTTCACAACTACTATATAATGGTCTCCTGATTTCCAGATCTTTTCCCAGAAGAGTTCTCTCAGATTATGCAAGCATCCTTCTTCTTGAAGGCTCTAATCTGATCCCTACAATCACCAATTTTGATCATAGTTTAAAATCTCCACCCAGGACAACAGCAATGGTCTTATGCCCAATATACAGTAACAAATTCAGGCTTGGTTATTTAATTATCTCACTTAGGGGATCCTCATAGAATATAAACCTTATACAATATGCACATAAAACAGTATGTTGTTGGTATGCTTCACAAATAGGATTACCTTTAGATACAGTCAGTGCTGGTGACCATTGTGACCTCAGGATATCAAGACAAATACTTCCATTGCTATTTATGTTTGGATGGTATATTTTTGTAGTGAATGCAATCTGCAACGTAAGAGTGCAAAACAAAATTCAATTGTTTGTACCACATATACTAGATAACTTCCATTTTATTGTTTCATCAGACATTTTTCAATGAAAAAATCTCTGTATGAATGAGCAGTAAAGAGCCATTCCATGCCAAATCAACAAATAAGACTATTTGTTGAGTGGGTTTTTTAGAAAGTTTGTCAGTCATTATATATTCTAAGTAATATCTAATAGCTCAACTTCTCTTTAGAAGGACAGAGCTATCCTCATGCCCAAATCTGATCATGGTCATATTTTCGTAAAACACATACTCATTCATTTTTCCAGATCCTAAGATATCATGAGTGGTGAAATTTATTAATTTAAAACATTTATATAGCCACCCACTTTATTACTAACCCTGGTAGTTCCCGATGATTTCTTAAGGAGTTATTGGATCTGGCAAAATAAATGAATCTAAGTGTAATAAATTTATTCAAATACACATCTTTACAATGACTTAAAATTATTATGTTCCCAAAGAAATCAGTATGTGTATTAATTTGATTCTGAGATACTTTTTAACATTTTTGGATGTCCATATTCTTGTTGCATCCTTATTACATTGAAATCCATGGCTCGGCAATTTAGCACTAGAAATATAAATTTATGGCCCTAGTTACTCAATGGACTAAAGGTGTTAATTGTAATTTATGAATGTATTGCTTTTAGATGTAGACTATGTATAGCTGATTATAATGAAACATGGTATTTTATTCATACATTTATGTAAAATTGTGACATACATATATACATCCATAGTATAATTGATTCAATTAAAATCAATAGTCATCTGTTGTCTAAAACAAACAATTGAAGCAAAGTGCCCCTTTGAGACTTCATACAGCCCTAATATAAAATGTTTATGCAAAAATGTCAAAATTCAGTTTCTGTGATGTGATTATATGTGATTTTTTTTTCCTGGCAATTTGGTAGAGAATGAATCCGATACTTTTTCTTCACTCTGTTGTTAATACAACAACAATTATAACCAAATTATCTGGGTAAAATACACTACCACATAAAATGATTGGAGCTTTAAGCTGTTCCTTGGATCTTTATATAGCTTTCTATTAAAGGCATGTTATCAGAGTAATTTCCAAGTCCACGGAAACATTAAAATCACATTATGTTAGCAATAGTAGATGTAGGTTCAGACCATTGCTCTTGGTCATCCAAAACATTCAGTTCAATGCATCAATTCCTGCCTTCCTGTCTGATAGAATTTTTCTGGAAAAAGGGGAAAAAAAGGCTCGATATGATTTTAGAGAGAAAAAAAATACCAGAAGGGAGAAATACCACCACAACATAGACCCGAGAAGTAGAGTGGTAAGAGCTTGGGTGGATTCCACAAAAGCATCTGAAGCCTTGGACATCCCAGTCTTGGTAGCACCACTGTACATAAAATTCCTATTCTAGATCACATATATAGATCAAAAACCAAGATCTAAGTTAACCTTAGATAAGAGATTGACCCTTAGGTTTCCTCTAAAATGAACACTGGCAAACGAATGTGCGGGTGGAAAAGCTGATCTCAAGCTAGTAGGATCTGTTTCCTATTCTCTAGGACCTCAAATATCAACTTGAGTCTCTTGTAAAAGACATACATTTAAAATGGATTAAAACAACAACACAGGAAAGGCTGAAGTCACCATGTCAAATTTAAAATATTGCAAACTAATTTGTCTTTTGATTTCTTCTGTGTTTGTCTCAAAGTGCTCTGTCCTCTGATCTACGTATTCTATTCTTATTTTAATAAAATATCTATGCCCAGCAAATTTTCCCATCAGAACAGAAGGCCAAGCCCGGATATTAAAATGAACAAATGGCATTTTTTAAAATTGTTTACCTTTGGTGGTTTGAAGGGGTAGTCTGTTGGAAAATGGACTGTAAGAAAAAAGACTCCCCCTTGATAAGCACTGTCAGGCTGGAAAACAAACAAAATAAATAAAGCTTTCCATCTTTTGCATGAAAGTACTACTTAATTCAGAGTACATACTGTAGGCTGCTGTCATTTTTTTAGCCAATTTTCATCCAAACCTGCAGAAAATCTTGATTATCTTTTTCTTAAAATAAAACTTGATTATGACCACTATTTTAATCTTTATACAATTTTAGAAAAAAATCATCCAGACAGCACTCTTAGCTTTATGCTGACAACTAAACTCTATCTCAGTAAGAAGACTTCTTACAGGTTTAAAGTATATGTTAATATCCATCAATTGCTCTCCCTAAAATGGCGTTAGGTAGGAATAAAAGGAAATTCTGACAGTTGGTTAGACCCATGGATGTAGCCATCTCAGTGCCTGATCTGTGGGGGAGATAGTTTCTGCCTCTTCTGTTTTATCAGAAATCCTGTGGTTGAGCCACATATTATTTTTTCCCCTCTCCTTCTCTGTTGTGCTCCCTTGCTGTTTCTCTCAGCTTAAAAAGAGGCTGATAGAAGGTTGTTGACAGGACTAGCAAATTCCCTGCTTCTCTTGCCACCCTTTCTTGCCCTGGTCCTGTAAGCCATTCACTCTGCTGTTCCTATTCCTACTGCAGAAAAGCAATCAAAAGATGAAGAACCAAAACACAGGAGGGATTGCATCCTTCCAGATAAATGTAATTACAGTAACAGAATAGCAGTCATAATAGCTAAATGTAGTATAGGCAAAATAAATATATAACACAATATAAAACATTAGCAGTAAAACAATATAATGTAGATAGATTTCCTAATATCAATACAACCAAAATGTAAATATATACTGAATATTGATAAAGTTCTTCTAACTTCACAAAGATTTTGCTAAAAGCAGTATTGTAAGGGCTTTTAACCTTCAAATAGTCAGATGCCAGACATAATTCAAGGAGGAAATTTTTTTCAGAAGGTAGAATCTAGAAAAATCCCTAAGATGTGACATGGTAATTTAATATGAGGAAAAAACAATCAACCTTGACTGCATGATGGAATAGAGTATATAACATAAATTATAGTAAAGTTATTCAGAAAGCAGGATGTAGGATATATGGCCTGTCAGTTAACACCATTCATTTAACTTGATTACATTGCAAGACTCAGCCAGTATAGAGACTGGCAAAATAATTATTAAAAATTACTAAGACTGAGTTGAGAATTCTATAGCCATACAAACTATATCATTATGGATCTGAACCAGAAGATGGACAGCAGGACCATTAAGGTCTGTCAACACAGTAAAACAATGGATGGATTCTTTAAATATTTAAAGTGCATTTTCTAATCAATAAGAATTGCTCACAATCATGAACAGTCATGCATGTAGAAATAAAAATTACAAATAAAAATATGATTGAACTAATCTTGTTCTGTTTATCAGGAATAAAGTAGCAAGATGCATTATAAATGAATTTGTGGTTGAAAACAATTGTGTAATATAAGCCCTTAAAATAATAAATTAATGTATACAGATCCCGTTTAAAATTAGCCTGGCCTAACAGAATATTTCTGGTCCTGTGTTATGAAAGATCTTCTCCAAGCCTGAAGACATACTTAAATCTGGGTCTCCCCACTTCTAATTCAACACTTATTATTATAAGTTGCTGTTTCTTCTTCCCTGGAACAAATTCTCTCTGCTCTATCACCTCTAACCACAAATAAGGCAGATGAGTATTTGTTTAATCAACCTGTGATATTGTAGACTGAAGACACTTCAGCTCTTTTGTTTCCTTTTGTATCTTATACTCCCATTTTATTTTCACAAGATCTAGAATATTACATTTAGCTTTCCATGTTTCCTCTTTCTACCTTGGATTAAGGGTAATTACAATTAGTTACTTACTTATGGTACCATGTACAATACTAACAAATTTATTGTATAAGTGCCCATAGATCAGAGTCCACTTCATCAAATGTATGTAATAAGACCTGACAAACACATTCTGTCATTTAATCACCAAATATTGATTTGATTTGGATTTCTCTTCTGTTCATTTACTTTCCATTTTGTTAATTGATCAAAATCAACTATTAACACTTCTATTTCTGAAAGCATTCTTAATTTACAGCATAACTGCCTAACACTTTTGTACAGTACTGAATATTAAATAGAGTGAACATATATTTTTGTAATCAGAAGATTTTATCCTTGTTATCAGTGAGAAATGGCGTTCCTTCTATTTAATTGTTAAAGGTATTTAAGAAGGATGTTATAAAATGTGGCTTCTCAAACCTCAGAATATAGTACAAGCCCACATAGCAACTTCCTAGAATATAACATTAGTTTGCATTTTCTTATTTGCTGAGATGGATCTCAGTACTACATACCAAGATGCTCCACTCATCCAGTATCACATCCTGAATGAGATGAGTTTTATTAGAGGCCAACCTAATATGCATGTCCAGGACTGCCTAAGGTTTGATAACCAGTAAGTGACAATGTGGGGTAGGGCTAGAGTGCAGAATAGATGCAACGCCTCCTTCCTACACTCTACTATTACTATTTAGAGCCAACTAAGATTTATTCACTGACTTCATTCATACATCACTCTGTGCTAAACCTAAACAATATACATTAGAGTTTAGCTTGAGATACATGCGGAAATCAATTACATTAAAACTTAAGTTTATTATTAATGAAGTAAACAAAAAAAATGAACTCAGTTATAAAAATTACATACTTACAGGTCCCATAATAGTTGCTTGCCAATGAAACACTGAAAAATACAAAGTATTATTTATCTTATTAAGTATTTAATGATACTATATATGATATGTATATAAACTATTTTGCTATCAATTATAAAGATCTTACAGTCATCTCCAACCGGTCCAGCTGAACAATGTGCAGGTGGATCACGCTGCAGATCACTTAGCTCCTGTAATAAACATAAAAATATTTGGAAGGTTACAAGCAAACTCAAGATTGATTATCCAAATTTGGATACTGTTTATTGATTTGATCAAGCATATTCAAAATTTACAACTAAAAAAATCAAAATAAATTTTAATCAAAATAAAATTCAATGAATGCACAGTGGAACTAAGATAATTAGTACTAAGCACTATTGCGAGATTTAATGCATATGTTATACATTTTAATACAATCAATGACTCCTGTTTTATTTCAATTCTAAAGTTGTTGGCCTGTGTGAAAAGACATAAATACAGACTTCCAAACACCCTGATTAAATAGAGTTAAGGTTAAGGCAAAAGTTGAGCATGATTTAATCTGAGTAGAACATTGCAATGAATTAAGTCAAACCCCTGCATAGGTCAAAGAAAGAGCCAATGATAATTCATATTACCATGTTTTGAAGTTATTGTTTTATTGACTATTGTACAATTTCATTAACAATAAGTTTCAAAGAGGTAATGATAAGATTTTCAGGCATACAAAATATATAGGACAATCCAGTAAGTCTACAAACTTTAATTCTAACAGAGCATACAAATATTAATGTATGTTGTAGATACATTTATTGATTCATTTAATGTTGTACATTCATGAGTGTTGTAATTTATTTATTTTTTAAAAGTTTATATTGTAACAGAAATGAACTTCCATATACTATACTATAAAGTATATAAAATTATTAACATAATAAAGCCATAACATAATAAAGTCATAACTGCATCAGCTCTCCAACTGCCTGAAAGTTCAGACTTCCAGAGGTGCCAAATGATTAGGCCAAAGGGGTTTGTGAAAGAGTTTTGTAAGCAATTTACTATGACCAAAAAGATTCAATTTTTCATGTCCATCTGCTTCATTTTTGAAAGCAAAGGAGCTCAGTTTATATGATAGTTACATATATAATTTTCACATATTTTAAATACATTTATTCAGCCCAGAATTACAGAGATGTTGTCAGAAAAGCTACAGCTCCAAATGAGCTGATATTGGTGAAGGATGCAAAAATCAATGAATTAATAATAAGACCTTCCCAAGTTATATTCATAACAAAAGGTAAAGAATCGCCTGTTAAATGAAAATGGCAAAATGCTAACAGGTAACCGAGCAAAAGCAGAACCTATTCTTGTAGATGTTCCCTTTGGCAAGTGTAAAGAGCAGGACGAAGGAGCAGGATGAAATCTCCAGAATCAGATAAACTAGATTTTACGGTATGAAGGACTATGCTGATTATCAGGGGTGACATAATGTCTTTGACAACTCTTGGAGAGATGATGAAATTCCAGAAAACTGAAGGAGAACAAATATTGTCTTTATCTTCAAGAAGAGAGAAAAGGGTACTTGGGAAGATTCCAGACCATTTTGTAAAAAAGATGATCTAAACAACCTTAAAAACAAAACTATGATTACCAGTAGTTATCATGGATTGAGTGTAATTGGGGAATGCTATAGACAGAATAGACCTTAATTTAACTGAAGTATTTGACAAAGAACCCAAACTATCCTGTTTAGCAAGATTACCAGTTAAAGTAAGACAATGAATACTGCACATAGCTGGTCCAAGAAATGTATCTGAAGCCTGCTCAATAATTCTTCTACCTGAGTGTGATATCAAGTGGAGTGATGAAATGAAATCAGTCCTGAATCTGGTACTCTTCAGTATTTTTTTTCATGACTCTGATGTGAAGGAAATGCTTCTCAAATTTTCAGGCATAAAATTGAGTAGGTTAATACTGTAGAAAACAGAAATAAAATTCAATATTATCTTGGTAAGTTAAGAAAAATAGATTTCTCTAAGTAATCTACCATCTCTCAAGTATTATGTGCAATTCTCAGTATTAAGTAGCAATAATGATTTAGAGAAACTGGAATAGGTAGGGGTGGGGAAGGATACAGGGTGATCTAGAAATTAAGTCTCATGACTAAGTATCTGGGGATATTTAGCCTGAAAAGAGAAACTTGAGAGAATATGACTAAACTCTACGTAAATACCTAAAATACTTAAAAAGATGTCACAGAAGATGGCTGGGACTTTATCTGATCTCAGGGAGTTCCAAGGTAACAGGAATCAAAATTAATAGATTTAAATTACATAAAGACAGACCTGAACTGAACCTTAGAAAACAAATTTCCAACAGTAACGATAGCTTGACTGTGAATCCAGTTACTGAGAGAAGGCAATTTATTGGATGTGTTCAATTAGAAGCTAGACAAGGATGTTTTAGATCTGTCAAGGATGTTTTATTCTGGATACCTGCATGAAATATGGGGTTAGATTTGATGGCCCAAATAGTTGGGATATGTGTTGGAATGTATGCAGTGTCACAGAAGCAATTTCCTTGAACAGGAATTAATATGTAGCAAAACATATATTATTATTAAATCCAGTTCCAGGACAATCATGAGTTTGATCTATATATTTCATTCTTGCCCGCCCTTAATTCAAGTTCAGATATAGTATACAGTATGCATAATGTATCTTTTTTTTTTATATAAAATCAAGTTTAAATCCAATATAAAACAAAAGAAGCAATATCTTGGGTGATTTACCATAATCTCTCTTTTTGGCACTAAAGGAAGTTTTTGTTTTTCAGTACAAACTTTAACAATCAACTTGGCTGTTTTAATACATGGTTTACATGTACTGTAAATTTAAGTGGAAATGTTTTAATGTATTGTCTTATTCAACTTAATACAAACTAATTCCCTCAATACAATGTAGCAGTTCAGTAGGATATAATTTTTTAATTCTTTACACAAACTAATAAAGGTTAATATCTGTAGCTCAGGACTGACATGAGGGGTCCTTGGTGCTCTCTGAACTTGCTTGTCTTCTTGCAGACATTTCATTACCCAAACTAGGTAACATCATCAGTGCTAAGTAAGGAGTGGGGTTCACTGTCAGTTACACAAATTATTAAGAACTGTATTTTTAGCAGTTAATTCTTGCCTAAAAGACAGCACTAACTTAGGAAAAAATCAATAGCTTAGTAAAGTTTAGTTTATTCATAAAACATCAAAATTGAGTTTTAGACACTACTATCGGTACAAATAGAAACTTGTTAAAAACTATTCTAACTACCCGAATTAGTGAACATTTTTTAAAACTGGAATATTAAAAAATACATGTCCTTAAGTATAAACCTGTGTGAAGCAAAAAGGCAGAGAAGTCAGAAATTAAAATTATATTCAGAACAGTAATACATTAAAGCCAAATGTTAACGCTTTCAAATATTATTTACACTGGAGAATCTCATTGGAACTGAGGGATTTCATATCTTCATCACCCGCATCTATTCTGGAAGCTCACCCAAATTGGGTGGGTGCGGGTGACTTTACATTGGGAAAGCTGATTTATGTTATTATTTCAAGAGAATAAGCTAACTGAATTCCACAGTCAGAATAGTATTAATTTTTGACTAGATCATAAATACTTTACTGAATTCCTAGCTTCATTATTAAGAGGCTATTCATATTTAATCAATTAATCAGTGTAGAAGAAAAAAAATTAGAAGTTTTAATATCTTTGTTTTATTTGAAATAAATGGCTAAAATACTCAAATATAACAATACTATAAATTATATTGCAGTAGACTAAACTAATTTAATTATAGCTCAGATGTAAAAAAGAGCTGAAAATTAGAAATCAATATGCAAAAAAAAAATATTGAGGCAAAACTAGTATAATCTTAATATTAAGGACTAATAGCAGTTCTTAAACACAATAAGTATTAAATACAACATAGTCACGAATATCTATTTTTTATAATCTTACATAGCCATCTATTACCCATTTTTGAAAAAGAAAACATCAACTCCAGAAGAAAAAAAATCTTTGGAATTATTTTCTTTGGTCTTCTTAGAATTTCCCATGTTTTTCTTGGGGAAACTGAGGTGTCCAAAATGTTTTCCACTTCTTTTTCTCCCTGGCACATCCCATCTCTATAGGGTGGCTATTTACAAACTTGATGGTAGTTTGATTTCTCACATTGTATTAATATGAAATATAGCTTGGATTAGCACAATGTGTAAACCTAATTATTATGGTTTGTGAGTTATGGTTTCTGGCTTAATATAAGTATGAACCAGGCATGAACCATGATTATTCAACAAGCCACAATTTAAATTAGCCACACAGTAATGCGTCTGATTTTTAACTGACCTTCCATTTCCTCACATTAAAATTATAACCAATCAGTATTCATCAACATTCATTTATTACTGCTTAAATTACATTAAAATAATCATTCTGATACAAAGCCAGATGTTTGTTGTTCCTCACATAATTCCCCTGACCTTCTAGAAAAACTATTAAGGTTATTTGCAATTAATTTTATTCTGAAAAACTAGTTGCTTGTCACTCCTGAGAGGTCATTTCAGTGTGTACTTTTCCAAAGAAACCAATGGCAAAATCTTTCTAAAGTACAGTGCCTTTTTAAATCCAAGAGCTCAAGTTTCAGGGAGAAGAGAAAATAACTTATTCATGCAAAGTGCTGATACTACCAACCCAAAGGAGAATCCACAAGTGTCCAATTTCTAAGTGTTATGAAAGCTGAATACAGCATAAGGCATATAATAAAGATACAGAACTGTAGGCAGTGGGAAACTCGTTGATCTCTTTACAATTTTCAATTCCAGCTGAAATAAAAGATCTTTAAAGTGCTGACTAACCGAACACCTTCCTAGAGATCTTCTTCACTGAAGCAGAGAGATACTCTTAATTATACAGGAAATTGTACCTGTTAATGGTCCCTGTCCACGTAAGAAATTAAACTGCTGATGTTAAAATAACAAACTACTTGACTGCTTTTAGGTTTGCCTTGTTACTTTGCTTCTGAAATAAATATTACTTTTAATTTCATTATTGTTCTTAAGAAGTGTTGTGATTTTAAAACTTCTTTTTGAAAAATTCTTTTGGAATTTTTTCCTGAGAAAGGTTGTTATAGAAATAAAATAAATAAGCAACTTGCTTGTTTTCCTATCACGACCAAATAGAAATAGCAGTTATTCCTTGGTTAACAATGGTAATTGGGAGCAAAATTTCCATTGCTCAGTGATAAAGTTTTAGTATTTAGTATGTATGTGATTTGTCAATTGCTTACAAGATACAGGTATAACAATAAACATAGTTTTGAATACATGAGATAGATAAGTTGCAGAGCACGCCATCACATCAGTGTGCAGTTTAGCAACAGAAATCCCAGCAGCTCCCTTTGTCATCATTAACTGAATCCCACCGTCATTAGGCAAAGACCCACCTCAATCCACGCTTTCCCAGCTTGGCCCCTCCCAGCCCAAAACTTTGGTAAGGAAGGGGACTGCCTCTTTTTGAACTCCTACCACCCACCCCAACCTCCCTGACTCTTAGCAGTGGTGGGCACCCAGCAGCATCTGGATTGAAAAAGCCCCATGACATCTATTTCATGTCCCCAGTACCACTATTGGCATCGAGTGCCAGCTCAAGCCTCATGGCCAATCACCCCAGCATCACAGCACAAAGCCTCACCAACCTGAGCTCTGCTGACCCTGCTGTACCCACCTGCCACCTTCCTCCCACTTCTGAGAGGTGTGCCCGTCCTGGCCCTACTACGTCAGGCAGCTGCTACCGTATCTGCACCATGCCTTTTCCCAAGGCTGTCATGATGTTTTGTAAGAGACTTCTGAGGCCTCCAAAATCTCTTGAGAAGGTCCATCTTTCTCCAAACCATGTGTGGCCTTCTCAAGAAGTTTCAGAAGGGTTGGCCATGGCTGGCTGACACTGATGAAAGCTCTACTTCAGCAGCACCAGCACCACCACTGCTGCCAAGGAATGCCACTGGGCAGGGTGGTCAAAAGGGGAGAGTTGGGGTGGTTGTAGAAGTAGAAGTGGTTGATGTAAGTTCTGATCACAGCGATAACATCAGGGACTGAGTATAAGTACCATTCATTCTGCATCACTAACTTCACATCACTAACTTTGTTGCTGAGTAATGGTCTTTAAAGAAGGACAACCTGTAATTTTAACCAGTATCTGTTGGAATTACTTTGTTAATTTTCTTTTGACTTGGTGGGTCATAAATCAGGTCAGCATTAAATTGCAAAAATTCAAGTGCACCACAACCATCATTTTTAAAAGCAGGTGTATTACTATTTATAAGCTGCTTAGAAGGTTTCACTTTCATTTTTACTGCTTGCCTTTCCTCCTCACACTCAGAGCCTGGTGATACAGATGCATTTCTTTTCAAACAATTATACAGTTTGTAGTGTACATAGAGTTGCAAAACAATAGGATAACTGAATATTCCTGAACTTTGTTTTATGATTTATCTCATGGTTACTATGAAATTGTGTGAATGAATCAATGCAGTGCATGTTATCTCAGCTTGCAGAGCTTGAATTCCTTGAGTTTACCAAAAATATAAATATTGCAGAATATTCAGCCACATGCTACATACATGTAAATAAGCTCCATTTCATGCTGAATAAACTAAATTATTAATGAATCTGAAATAGAAACAATATATTTTTACTCCAAAAGCATTTTATTAAAATAAATTTGATAATTAAAAAATCTGATTGAAATGAAAAAATCTGATTGAAATAAAAAAATCATTTTTTTTATGTTTTTAAAAAAAATCATTGATTTTTATCTACCATGGTAGCTTCCATATTATGAGCTTATATTATTTAATAATATTTAGTTGATCAATGACCAGCAAAACATAAAAACAAAATGGTATGAAGCAAATAAATG